TATTTCAAAGTTATTTCAAAGAGGGAGAAACAATGCATGACGCACTTTTCAGACTTTCATGTCGGAGAATTACAAAAACATTTGCCATTTTCCTTTGTTGTATTTACAAGCAGACTGGAGCTTAAAACATTTTTATGCTCAAATTATATCAGCAGAAAAAGAATAGTTATTCAAGTGGATTTATTTCACAGTAATATATACAATCTTACTTGAACAGATGACACCAGCATCTTTGCCGTGTCCACAGTTGTGAGTCCCAAATCCATTGTGCCCACAAGCACCAAGAGAAGTTTCATTTCCAGAGCAGACCAGATCATCAAGCCAGATCTGTCCAGTCCCCTGGCCAAAGTGGGCTGATTGTTTAGCTTCCTCAGCAAGACCACAGCCTGACTGTCTGCAGGCCACCACCGCATCATTTAAGTCCCAACCATCATCACAGACTGTTCCCCAGACACCACTGTGATAGATTTCAACTCTTCCAGAACATGGCTCATTTGATCCAGATAATCTGATTGAATCTGTAAATTTTTGTTACATGGAGAAACAAAGGTATTCAACAAAAACAATATGCAAATGTCTGCTCTAAGTGAACTTCAGACAGACACTGACAAAAAACTTTCATTCCTTTTTTTTTTTACTGAACTCTGTTTGTGGCCACACAGGCTTTAGTCCTAATCAAATTAAAATCTGTCCAAAATTATTACTCTTTTCTTTAAAATATCGTTTTTGATTAAAAAAAAACTATGAATGTAAATAACACAACCTTACTTGAACAGATGACACCAGCATCTTCTCCGTGTACACAATTGTGAGTCCCAAATCCATTGTGCCCACAAGCACCAAGAGAAAATTCATTTCCAGAACAGACCAGATCATCAAGCCAGATCTGTCCAGTCCCCTGGCCAAAGTGGGCTGATTGTGGAGCACCCAGAGCAGAACCACAGTCTAACTGTCTGCAGGCCACTGCGGCATCATTTAGGTCCCAAAGATCATCACAGACTGTTCCCCAGACACCATTGTGGTAGATTTCAACTCTTCCAGAACATGGCTCATTTGATCCAGATAATCTTATTAAATCTGTAAGTTTTCATAAAATAATGGAAAGCAAATGTATTTAACAAAGTAGATAATATGTAAAGATCTGCTGTGGCTGTAAGTCATACAGATGCTTACTGGCAAAAGCAGTAACCAGTAATTCTTTATTTCCTACATTCCCTTCTTTTTTAAAAGAAATCATCAAACTGTTTGGACCTGTCTGTGACCACACAGACTTTATTCCTAATCAAATTAAAATCTGTCCAAAATTATAATTCTTTTTTTTTTTAAATATTGTCATTTTTGATTATGGAAACAATTAAATAAATTATATCAGAAAACTATTAACGTAAAGAACATAATCTTACAACAGATGACACCAGCATCTTCATGGTGTTCACAATTGTGAGTCCCAAATCCTCTGTGCCCACACATTGCAAGAGAAGTTTCACTTCCAGAACAGGCCACATCATCAAGCCAGATCTGTCCAGTCCCCTGGCCAAAGAAAGCTGATAGTTTAGCTTCCTTAGCAGGACCACAGCCTAACTGTCTGCAGGCCACTGCAGCATCATTTAGGTCCCAACCATCATCACAGACTGTTCCCCAGACGCCATTGTAGTAGATTTCAACTCTTCCAGAACATGGCTCGTTTGACCCAGATAATCTGATCAGATTATCTAAAAAGAAAAAACTCAAAACTTGATTTAATATGAACCACCAAAGAAATTGTACAATTTGTGACAAGTGAACCAACCTGATGCAGAATATGAAGACAGGAAACAAGAGACTGCATTAGAAGAAATAAGCAAAAATGATCCATTTAATGTGGTTAAGTTCTTACTTNGCAAAAATCTATTGAATAGGGAGATTTTTAAGCCTTTAAAGTATAATATTACCTCATCCTCTAAGTATGAGCTGGGTATTTATGCAACATTGACAACAGAACCAAAATGCCTTTTCATAAAGCAAAATGCAGAACATTCTCTCTATGTAAAAACAGTGGCATTCATTTATGTACTAAATGTATGTCACCTGTATCACCATTATGTGCAAAGACATCTGCTCCAGGAACTCAATGCATACACCAAGTGAGAGAAGTTAGGCTTTCTGAATATTCCAAATCAGCAAGCCAGATATGCTTAGTATATTTATATCTTAGTACATCTCATGTGTTAATGTGTTAGAATACTCCTGTCAAACTCAACACCTAAATTTTATTGTGCATTTGTGGCAAGACTTTTTTTTGTGAATGATAACAGACCAAAATTTCAGTCTCTAGGTGTCTGTAGTAGAGACATACCCGAAATACCCAGGAAATCCCATAAAGTCCGGTATAATTGTTTTTGCAGTGCATTGTACATACATAGTCATCCAGTATTACAAACTCCTTTGGTTGTTAAATGATCATAGATCAAATAAAAATTACAAAAACTTTTGTCACTCACAAATGTTTAAATACCAGTATCAAAATCTATTAAATTCTGGTCTACATCATTTATTGAAATTCACCCACAGACAAGAACACCCTCAAATACAGAACAATGATGATTACAGTATGAAGGCAGAAATATAAATAGGCTCAAAATCTAAAAATAAAGCAATCAACTTTTATCCCATTGAAGATTTTTACATTTCAGTTGTGAAGAAAAAGTCAAAACCTCAATTAATACAGAAATGCTTCAAGAAAGTCATGGGAAAGCCTCAAGATTACTCAACACACTTTTAGATCTTTTTCTTTTATTTATTAAACCCAGTAAGTAGCCTATCTGCCATTGTGAGAAAAAAACAATACTTAAATGTTTTGGGGGTTAAGCAGTGGGTTCATTAAGGGACAATTTGTTTAAATCTTTTGATATGAAGTGTCTGGTAATGTTGTTTTACAGCTTGAACCTTAATCTCAACCAAGTTTGTCCCTCATAGAGGTTTACATGTGTTATTGTATGTGTTCTTACATCTGAACAGTTATATAAAAAATAACGTTTTCATTCTTGTTTACTTCATTACTGTATCATGAGTTTACTGATTACACCGTGAGAACTTACACACTCACCTCACACAACATTCATTAGATTAGTTTAGGATAGTCGTTTATGAGGAGATTGAGGAAGGGTCAGGAACATGAACTTCAGTTATTAGTAACAGAAACCGTGACATTGTCACTTAGAGGGGAGGTGAAAGTTTTATATTCCACAAGTTTTTCATAATAACAGCTGTAATTTCCCTCATGATTAACACTGGCTTCAAGAAATCTGAATGTAGAGGAGTTGGTACTTGATTGTTGGGTCTTAGTGAATGATTTAGAGGTCTTCTTCAGGGTGAATGATCCAGAGGTCTTCTTCAGGGTGAATGATCCGCCTAAATATTGGGTCGAAATGGAACAATTGATGGCAATGAGGTCACCAAAGGTAACCACGCCTGCAGGGTCCATGGTGATGCTTGGTTTTGGAAGAATCACTAAAAGCATAATGAGAATGTTATTTATTATGTCATTTTGAACTATTTGATTAAACTAATTTCACAAACAATTACCTGTCACGTTCAGGTTGACATTATCACTAAAAACTGAGCTAGAATCTGTTCTTTGAAACTGACACTGGTACGATCCCTCATTTGTAAACTTGAATTGATGGATAAGATTGTTCACCTGTTATAATCCTTTAAAACATATAGTAAGCTCAATTAATCTGCAAAATAAAAATAAAAACACACCTGTTATAAAGAGTGGGACATCACTGCTGAAGTTAGAGCTGATGTCTTCATTAGAAATCTTCACTTTGAACTGACACTGGTAGTCTCCCTCATCCGTAAAGGTAACTTCAGGGATATATAGAGTAGCAGAGTTGCTGCTTGAGTTCACAGTCTTTGTGAAAAGACCTGAGGTCTTTGTGAAGATGAATGATCCTTCTACTTCACCCCCAGTAATCGAACAAGAAATGTGGACATCCTGGCCCCACATAACCATACCAGCAGGCTGGATGGTGATGGTAGGCTTTGGTAGGCTCACTGAAAAATAACACAATGTCAAATTAGAAAAATTTAAAAGAGGACCAAAGTGCAGACTTGAGAATCCCATGGACATAAATAATTTATTGACATAGACAGACAGCAGCAGAACAAAATAATGCAGACAATGGAGGGTCCAGGAAAAAAGAGATGGTAAACCAGAAGGAGACACTGGAGAAGAGCGAGCTTAACCATACTGAGTGGAAGTGGACATGACAAAAGAGCAAGCAAATTTGAAAACAATCTAAAACATAAAGACAAAACATTACCAGTTAGCTGGACAGAATCACTCAAGTTGGTGCTCAAGTCTTGATTAAAAGACCTTCTTTGAAACTGACACTGGTACGGTCCATGATCCACCAAGTTGACTTCACTGATGTGGAATGAAGCCGAGCTGCTGCTTGAATTTACAACATGAGTGATTGGTCCTGATGTCTTCTTGAAGATAAATGATCCTCCTACTTGACCCTCAGAGACTGAGCAAACGATGTTGACAGTCTGACCAACAGAAACCACACCAGCAGGATCCAAAGTGATGCTGGGCTTTGGAAGAAATACTGAAAAAATAACAAGAGAAAAGCTTTACTGCCCAAAGACATTACACATAATTCACAGTAAGGGAACATCGCAGTATATTTTAGAGATCTCATAAGAAGTGGCAAATATAAATTAAAACATTATTACCAGTTAGTTGGACAGGGTCACTGAAGCTGGTGTTGAAGTCTTGATCAGAAACTCTCCGTTGAAACTGACACTGGTATAATCCCTCATCTCCCAGGTTAGCTTGAGTGATATGGAAGGTAGCTGTGTTGCTGCTCGAGCTTACAGTTTGGATGAAATTACCAGGTGTTCTCCTAAAGACAAATAATCCTCCTGCCCGACCCTCGATGACTGAACAGGTGAGGGTGGCATCCTGACCCCACATCACCCCACCGGCAGAATCCAAGGTGATGGTCGGCTGTGAGAGGTTCACTAAAAAGCAACAAAAACATCATGTCTTTTGTATGTTTAATCAAATGGCCAACACTAATAAAAACAATAATTACCAGTTAGCCAGACAGGGTCACTAAAGTTGGTGTGAAACACTTCACCAGAAACCGTTCTTTGAAACCGACACTGGTACAATCCCTCATTTCCCAAACGGACTTGCGCGATATGGAAAGTAGCCGAGTTGCTGTTTGAGTTTATAGTCTGAATGACAGAACTGGGAGCGTTTGTGAAAATAAACGATCCACTCAATCCATCCATAACGTCACACCTGATGCTGACACTCTGACCCCAAGAAACCAGACCGGCAGGCTGCAAGGTGATGTTGGGTTTTGGAATTTCACCTGAAAAATGGTGCAAAGTTTGGTCACCTGTTATAGTCCTTTAACCCTATAGTAAACTCAGTTAATCTGCAAAATAAAGATAAAAACTCACCGTTAATATAGAGTGAGACATAACTGCTGAAGTTGGTGCTGAAGTCTTCGTTAGAAATCCTCACTTTAAGCTGACACTGGTAGTATCCCTCATCCGTAAAGGTAACTTTAGGGATATTTAGAGCAGCAGAGTTGCTGCTTGAGTTCACAGTCTGACTGAAACTTCCTGAAGACTTCCTGAAGATAAATGACCCTCCTCCTTGTTCATTAGTGACTGAACAAATGATTCTAACATCCTGATTGAGGGAAATCACTCCAGAGGGTTCAATACTGATCGTGGGTGTTGGAAAGATCACTAAAGAAGTGAGACAGTTGTTATTTTCTCAGCACATTTATTTAGAGTTATAAGAGTAAATGAATGCAAAACAGTAATACCTCTTAGTTGGACTGTGTCACTAAAGAGAGTGGTGAAGTTCTCATTGGGAAGTATGATTTGAAACTGACACTTGTACCATCCCTGATCATTGAAAGTGGCCTGAACGATGTAGAAAGTAGCAGAGTTGCTGCTTGAGTTCACAGCCCGGCTGAATGAGCCTGTGGTCGTCGTCAAGACAAATATCCCTTTTACTTGTGCATCAGTGACTGAACAACTGATGCTGACATTACGACCCAAGGTGATGTCACCTTGAGGAGTAAGTTCAATACTGGGCCTTATAGGGCCTGTCAAAAAAAACAAAAAAAAAAACACATTATATAGTGTTTACCATAACAAAGTAAATACATTTCATCAAGGACTGCCAGGCTTCAGATTTGACATCATTTCTGTACAATGACGACACAGATTCTATTTTCTTCTATTTATTGCAACACATTTATACAGCCTCTCGTCAACAAAGAGCCTGTGATTGACTTATTACACAATGGGTGCACACACTGCACTATTTCTGGATGTAATAGACACAATTAAGTTTTTCCTTTAAAGTTACTTTAATTAATTTAATCAACATTTGAATTCATAAAATAATGAATAGAGTAGAACTTTTTCCAATTCTCCCAATGAAGATTTAAATTACACTCAACTTCTTTAAGTTTTTACTAATGCCTTTAGTAGGAAACTGACATTACCTGAACAGATGACACCAGCATCCTGACTGTGAGCACAGTTATGCACACCAAATCCACTGTGGGAGCATTCAGTCAGATAGTTTTCATTGCCTGTACAGGCCACCTCATCAAGCCAGATTTGTCCTGTTCCCACTGCAAACTGACGGAGACTCACTGCTGTACCACAGGCCAGCTGTCTGCAGACCACTCTAGCATCATTTATGTCCCAGTTATCATTGCAGACTGTTCCCCAGGATCCACTGTTGTAGATTTCGACTCTTCCAGAGCACCGAGCTGACCCAGCTAATTTTACGTTGCCACCTAAAAACAAAATCAATACCAATCAGGCAGTACATTATCACCACTTGAACTGTATGATACACATCATCTCTTCATCATGACACATGTTAGTAGGTGGGACAGATTAGGTAGGTATTAGTGGCACAAATGGTAAGGATTTTACCAAGTTTGACATGGGCAAAGTTGAAATGGTGACATGACTGGGTCAGTTCATTTCTAATACAGCAGCTCCTTTGAGGTATTCCAAGTTTCAGTGGTCAATAACTATTAAAACAGTTAAAGGAAATAAAGGAAATAACAGTGTAGAACCAGTAACGGAGTGATGGGAGGATAAGGCTAATGTAGTTGAGAAGCAAGGTAAGGTAAGGTAATTTTATTTCTATAGCACATTTTCAGCAACAAGGCAATTCAAAGTGGTTTATGTTAATTAACATGAAATACAAACAAAATAAACCATAGGAAAGACAAAAAGAAGAAAGAGAGCTAAATCCTTTTCTGGTTAAAAGTAAGATAAAACTAAGCAGTGATGTTCCTGTTAAGTATTTCTTGATTCCAAGTTCGTAGTTATTCTAATTCTAATTATGATTCCATTTATGGGCTGTACAATATCGATCTAAATAGTGCGTACTCCACAATTTCTAATATTACTAATAAACTAAAATAATCATTTTCTGGGTTAAATAGGGAGTACTCCACCGTTTCTAACAAACTAAAACAAAAAAGAGGAAAGGACGCATTCGGGCAAATGGCAACATTCAGACAAAACAGAAACATGAGTGAAGGAGGTGACACCATTTTATTAAGTTTTTTAATCAGTTTCACTCAAAAACTGTATTCAGTCTTCTTTAGAGTTACGCTATTTTCATTGACAACTTGCTCCAATTTCCTCCATGTTACATATATTGTGATATGTTATCACAAGATATATTGTGTATATCTTGTCTACAACCTTTCTAGGTGACCTCAAGAATCTTGCAGGTGGTGTCAATCAGGAACATGCAGGAAAATGTGGTAGTATTTCAAAGTTATTTCAAAGAGGGAGAAACAATGCATGACGCACTTTTCAGACTTTCATGTCGGAGAATTACAAAAGCATTTGCCATTTTCCTTTGTTTTGTTTGTTGTATTTACAAGCAGGCTGGAGCTTAAAACATTTTTATGCTCAAATTATATCAGAAGAAAAAGAATAGTTATTCAAGTGGATTTATTTCACAGTAATATATGCAGTCTTACTTGAACAGTTGACACCAGCATCTTGAAGCAGTCAGCTTTTGCCAGTAATTCTTTATCTCCTACATTACCTTCTTTAAAAAAAAAATAATCAAACTCTATGGACCTATTTGTGACCACATAGGCTTTATTCCTAATCAAATAAAAATCTGTAAAAATTATTATTCTTTTTTTTTTAAATATTTACATTTTTGATTATGGAAACAAATAAATTATATCAGAAAACTATGAACATAAAGAATATATGCAGTCTTACCTGAACAGATGACACCAGCATCTTCTCCATGTCCACAATTGTGAGTCCCAAATCCTCTGTGCCCACACACAGCAAGAGAAGATTCACTTCCAGAGCAGCTCACATCATCAAGCCAGATCTGTCCAGTCCCCTGGCCAAAGTGGGCTGATTGTGGAGCACCCAGAGCAGGACCACAGTCTAACTGTCTGCAGGCCACCACAGCATCATTTAGGTCCCACAGATCATCACAGACTGTTCCCCAGGAGCCATTGTGGTAGATTTCAACTCTTCCAGAACATGGCTTGTCTGATGCAGATAATCTGATCGAATTACCTAAAAAGAAAGAACTCAAAACTTGATTTAATATGAACCACCAGAGAAATTGTACAATTAGTGACAAGTGAACCGACCTGATGCAGAAGATGAAGACAGGAAACAAGAGACTGCATTAGAAGAAATAAGCAAAAATGATCCATTTAATGTGGTTAAGTTCTTACTTGACAAATAAATCATCAGAGGACAAAATTTGATGAGCGATGGAAGTTTGGAAATTCTGCTCAAAATAATTTGTTACCATTCCTAGTGTACTTCAGCCTAATTTAAGATAAGACTATGAACAATTATTTTGTCATTTTCATAACCTTACGATTTTCCAACTTCTGTGTTAAACCACATCTGCATGAATTACCATCTGCATGAATGTATGTAGGATCGTCGTACAAATTTGAGACATGAATCATAAACAAATCATCTATTTTTCTCACCTAGAAGCAGCAGATTGTTCACCATCCTGTTGACTGAGCATATGAAGAGAAGATGAAATCGAGACACAGTGAAGAAGAGTCCGTGCTGAAATTAGTTTCATTGGATCTTGTTGTCAGGTATCCTGTAACAACCTCTAGAGAACTTCTGCATATTATAATTAGATCTACAAAGAGCAAAATTCAAGGAAATAAGATGTAATAAGGTGTGTTGGACCTTTATCTGTGTATTTTTATAGGGGTTTTATAGCCTACAAATTTGCCTATAAACAAAACAGAGCATCATATAAATATGAAGCTGCCTCTGAATGAATAGGTGTATTCATTTTTAGTACTTTCCATAACATAACTGTAAAAAGGAACGTCCGTGATGTGAGATTGTACTAAATGTAAATAGACACAAGTCTCTTACAAAGAATAGTTTCTGTTTAAAGGGATTGTTTTGACTTTTAGAGTATTTCAGTCACTGGAATTTGCTTTGGGGATTTTCCTTATGCCCTCATAAATCTCTTGCTTAAGTTTTAATACATGCTTTTACCAAGACTACTCATGTAAGTTTACATTTAATTTAAATAAAGAAAGAAAATTGCACAGCTATAGCACATTATTCATTGCAGTATATTATATTTCACACAAATAAAAGATCTCCAAACAGAAATGCAGTGGATCTAAATAGCTTATAATCTCTTAAGTGAAAATAACTGGATTTGTTGCGACGTTAAAAATCATCACAACAAACTGCAACTTGAAAACTTTGTCTTGCAATATGAAATCACACTAACTTTTCAATTGTCTACAGTGTAAAAAAAAATCCCCTTACAACAGGCGTTTTGATTTGGACAATATAAGATATTTGGTTTTATTCCTCAATGTCTTCTCATAACAATCGAAATCTCCCTCATGCCTTTCAGTGGCTTCAAGAAATCTGAATGTGGAAGAGTTGGTTCTTAATGGTCATGTTGAATGAATCTGAGGTCTTCTGCAGCATGAATGAATCCACCTAAAATTTGAGTTTAGTTGGATCATTAATGTGGGTGTTGTGATATAGTAATGTAGAGCATCCATTAGCATTTTTTCTGTGTGTTATTGTTGAACTCTATCAGAGCCTATTGTATATTCTTTTTGGTTATCTGTGAAATCTTCTCAATAAATAAGATGTAGTTCAATCGTTAATTTGTTTTGATTATTGGAAAAGTCAAACTCATATATTCATCACTCTGAGAGTGATATTTAAAGTGTAATGACAATTATTGTTTACAGGTAATGAAAACCTAAAATTCAGTTTCTCAGACAAACAATATTACAATGGAACAACAAAAAGTGAACTTTAATACAGTAGTGCTATAAAGTGATGATTTTGTGACCATCATAAGAATCGTAGGGAGAAACTGGAGGGGCCTTAACAGTTTACAAGAAGATGCTAACCACAAGGAAGGTAAACCATAAAATAATTGCAAAAGAATCTTCTTGTACAGTGTTTTGTATGAATTTAAAGGGGAATGGGGGGGGAGTGTGTCACAATCTACCAGAAGATTTAGAGCATTTCACTGAGATCCTAACTTCAGCTTCTAGCAAAACTTTCTGAATGATTTCCGATCAAATAAATAACATTTATTACATTCTACCTTGTTTTCCAAGTGTTTCAGATGGATTTACCCTCTGTAAAAAATCTTTTTCCAACATATATTTTTTGGTTCTGAAGTCATTTTCTACTTTTACAGTACAAATAAAGTAATAAGCAGTGTTCCTCTTTTAAACCTGCCTTCTCAGGTTTAAAACAGAACCAACCTGGGAAGGTTGGTTCCAGATGGAAGATTCATTTTAATAATCTTCCATCTGGGAAAATTTTTAAAAATGAATAAAAGTTAACTTGATCAACTTACAATAGAATACTTTAAAATGTTTTATTTCCTCTTTTTCTCATTCAGAAACTAATTCATGCAGTGAAAAACTAGTTTAAAACTGTTGTCAGTCAGATAAGTCAGTTTTGATTTATGGGTTAAAATGTTGACATCTCAAAATAAGTAAACTGTATAAACTCTGAATATAACATCAAGTTTCACTCACTTGAAACCAGTTGAAATAGTAAATATCTTTGTTACTATGACGATAAACGCGTTCGAGACTCAATGTTCTGCCATTTCTTTAGAGAAATTTTATTTCCTGACATGAAGTTGTTGATGCTGGGCCACGTCCCAATATTCTTCAGGTCATCATCACTGGTCTACAGAGCTAGACCCATATGGCAGGAATTGACGATCTTAAGTTTATCAAAACTTTATTGAAACTTTGTTTAGAACTTAGTTTGAATGAAATAAGTGACTTTAAGAGCATTGCACATGCAGCGCTTGAGTCGCTGCATAGTTTTTAATCACCATTTTTAGTCAAAATATTCTTTTTATGTTTAAAAAGCTGTGTATGACACAGGAAAACCAGGAACAACATTCCATTTTGTAAGGAAACAAGATATATTAACAAGAATATCAAACGAGCATCTGATCATGTAAATTTGTCCCGTGTTTGTATTTGAATAATCCAATAATAGTTTCACAGCCATCAACCACAAACCAACCGCTGTTGGTTTACTGCAGTTCATGGAGTCATACATAATTTACATAAGCAAAATAAAAAGAATACACAGTTAATTTAAATTAACTGCATAAATCCCAATTCTGTACTATAAGAAGAAGGAAAATGTACCCATTTGGTGGGTTTTCCGTGGTCACTATTTTTTCAATATTTTATTGTTTTATAAATATTTTTAATTTTAGGGCTTGGCAAGGAACTTCAAAAGGCAGGTACTTATAAGTTTAAGCATTCAGAAAAGCTTTAATAAAGAAGCATAGTTAATCTGTAAAATTAAAGCATCATAAAACCCATCCTTTGCTTCTTCCCTGATAAGGATAATTCATCTTAATCACTAACAAATAACAGGACACGTCATGGAAAAGGTTCATAAATACAGGAGTGTATAAATACATATAAAGGTTGGTATGCTTCTAATGTAGGCAGCTAACTACATAAGAAGTATGCCAAGCATACAGCCAGATAAAAACCACATTGTGTGGCAATCAATAAAAACAACTCACTCTGTTGTTTTGGCGAATTTAAACAATTAAATTGTGTCCCCTATCTGACCCATTAAAAGCGTCACAATTTTAAAGACTTGCAACTGGCTTGCTTTCTTTGGTCCAATACTGATACTTGCACAATATTCACAAGTGAATTTTACATGCAACAGCCCACATACTGCATGCAAATAGGTTGCTTAAATTCGTTTATTATTAGTTTTAGCTCATTGAAACGTCTCTCCCCAACAGCAACAAACACAGGCGATGTGCAAAATATACATGAAGCAATCCAGACTTCTCAAAAAATGCTATGTTGTTGCATTTTGTTCAAGATACAGAATGTAACTTTAACAAAATTATGTTTTTTCCACATTTGTTAAAGCTGTCACCATGTCATGACAGTTTGCTATGAAACAGATCATCTGTGAAAAGATCAATCTCCTCCACTTCCTCTCAGAGCTGCTACTGCTATCAAAAGAAAGGCACTGTTCTGACCAAAAACAGGCAAGAGGACTGCTAAGTGTGCTAATGGAAGATTTTATAAAGATTGTTTGAATTTCTATGAGTAATAAATACATTGTTGTGTAACTGTAAAAAGAGTAGAGAGACAGGAAAAATCCATATATTCCCTGGAATGATGCTAACTAGCTTGTCACTGAACACAGTGTTGCTCACCTTTTTTTCACTCGGACCAGGGAGATATCAGAGGTATCAGTGTTACTCAGTTACTGCTCACTGGCTCATCTGTTGTTAAGTGTGATAAGAGGTACAGGGACAAGTTAAATATGAAAATGTTTTTACTTCATTCATTAAATGCTAATGAAATGGAGTCAAACTGTAGTCTGTAGCTAAGCTAACTATGCTAAATGGTTAATCTCACAAAGTCTACCCACCCCTCTTGGAGAAAAACTGGGCTATAAATTGACTCTCTTGTCTTTTCTCTCTCTCTCTTTGAAAACCTGATGGTATTTTTTTCTTAGCAGTATAGTGACTGCCAAAGTCGTTCTTGTCTTCTTCCTACTGTTGCTGAACACCGTCAACGTCAAGCTCGCTAAGCAAGAACAAATAATTTCATGTGGATACAGGGGGGTGTTCGGGGCAAATATAGATGTGTGCTTTTTGGTCTGGGAGTGGTAAAATTGTAATTTTTATTTCTAAAATAATTTTTAAAACACTATATGATTAATTTTGTAAAAAAAAAAAATTCTATTTCTATAAGAACAAAAAATATTTTTTATGGGAGGGCCCCACAGGAGTCCTTGGAATTGTCCTAACTTTTCCCTCCTGATCACCAATATGTGCACAGTCATCTGCTCCAGGAACCAAGTCAGAGAAGTTTGACTTTCTGAATATTCCTAATCAACAACTGAGATATGTTTAATATATTTACCAAACTTGTCTAATGGAGGAAGATCCTTTTCTCCACTTCAGCCCAATT